TTCTCTCTCTCTCAAATAAAAAAAAAAAAAAAAAAAAAAAAAATCACATTTCTTGGGGCGCCTGGGTGGCTCAGTCGGTTAAGTGTCCGACTCTTGATTTCGCCTCAGGTCATGACCTCAGGGTTGTGGGATCGAGCCCCGAGTCAGGCTCCGAGCTCAATGGAGTGGGGAGTCTGCTGGAGATTCTCGCTCTCTCTCCCTTTGCCCCTCCTCCTCCCCCCTCCTCTCTCACTCCCACACAAGTGGGCTCCTCTCGAATTAATATTCATTTGAGAGAGAGTGCAGGCAAGAGCACAAGCAGGGGGGAGGGTCAGAGAGAAAGAAGCAGACAGTTGAGCAGGAAGCCCGACACGGGGCTTGATCCCAGGACCCCGGGACCATGACCCAACCTGAAGGCAGACACTTAACCGACTGAGCCACCCAGGTGCCCCAAAAAATAATCTTTTAAAAAAATCACAAGCATCCGGATGGGAACACGGGTGGCCACATTTCTGGATGGGCCCGGGCCAGGTCACGAAGACATGGCTGGAGTGCGAACCCGGGCTGAGTTTTCTCCAGGGGCTGCGGTGGAGCTGCCAGGGTGACCCATCTTGCTTTTGCGGGTGCAACAGGGCAGAAGGTGCCTGCTTTTCCCCCAGAACTTCTCTGGATTGCCTGCAGCCTCTAAGCCATGCTTTTTAACTTCTTTAGGTAATGGTAAACTGAATACAGAGGCAAATGCAAAATTCACTGTGACCTGCCACTCTGCTCTTACCAGGCCCTGCTGTCAGCCCAACACGGTGACACAGAAAAAGCCTCTCTACAAACACGTCTGTGCATGGAGTACGTGGGATGTCACTGACTCGCACGGGTTTTTAGACCTGCAGCAACTCCCTTCCAACTCTCCTAAGAGGTCCATCATACTCTATCTACAGGCTAGTTTAGGGAGGCCAGAGCTTGTCAGTCAGGTCCTCTGCATCCCTAAATCCATCAGCAGGCCTGTCCTGTCTCAGATGTCCGTCACCTCTAAGCGTTCCAAAGCACCGTGGAGGTCGTTCTCACTTAAAGCTCTCTCTCGGGGAAGTGGCTGAGAGCACAGAGGTGAGATGAACTTGTGAGATCCAAGCTGGACTCCAAATAAGTTATAGTTTTTTTAAAAAAAAGATTTATTTCAGAGAGAGAGACAGCACACCAGCAGCGGGGAGTGGGAGAGGGAGAAGCAGACTCCCCGCTGAATAGGAGCCCGATGCGGGGCTCGATCCCAGGACGCTGGGATCATGACCTGAGCCGAAGGCAGATGCTTAATTGGCTGAGCCGCCCAGATGCCCCGTAAGTTACAGTTTTAATCAAGAAGCTGAGAAAGTTCTATTTAACGTGGCTGCTCTTTACTGGTGACAGGTTTTGAGTTCTCGGGCAATCTCATTTCCAAAACCCAAGTCCCTACACTTCGGCCGATGAGGTTTTGATGCAATCCCCCAACTCCCCCCGCCCCTGGAATGACTCAGGAGTGGTCTGTTCATCCTCTTCTAGGCTCCTGGTGGCCTCCTGAAAGATCACTGAACGGTTCTAAATCCACAGCGTAAACATTTCCATCTTCCTGGAATTCCTCTCTACATTCTCATCTCAGTGTGGTTCCCATTAGAGAAGGACGTCACGGCAGGCTGACCCATTAACACCTTTTCTATGCCAGCAACCGTGCGGGCACGTGTCGACCAAGTCCAAAGTCCCGTTAAGTGTATCTGCACATTTTGAGGAGACTGACAGGTGACCCAAACCTTTCATTATGAAAGCCTGGCATCACAGGTGAGCAAGCCATACCCTTTAGCAGCAGAGCTGGGGACAAGGTGTGTGGGACAGTTAGCAGGTAAGAAGTTTATACACCAAATGAAATGTGCCAAATATGCAGATAGAGGGGCCAAGTTGAGCTTGTATTTGGACAAGAGAAGAGCCATCTTTCATTTGTTTTCTGCGGTTTCATTAAAATCATCACAGAATGGGCGCCCAGGTGGCTCCATTGGTTAAGCGTCTGCCTTCGGCTCAGGTCATGATC